TGGGAGCTTCACCGATTAATCATCATGATATGCTTAGGGCATTCTGAGCAGCTGCAGTGAGCTTTTTGAGCAATGTGGTCAGTCCATTTGATTGGGTAGCTGCTTCCAAGGTCCCAAGTCCCAACACAAGGATCTTCCTTCATGACTCTCTATCCCAAAACACCATCTGTGCATACTTGATTACAGTTGTACCAGAGCCATGGATGGATATTCTGACTGCATGCTCAATTCTGCCAACGTACATGGACAAGTTGAAGCCATTTTGATCGCGAATAAGACAAAGTGATGAAATTAGTAATTATGCTACGAGTATTAGTTAGCGTGACTAACTAGACAATCACTTATGGAGATGGTGTTAGAAAGTTTGTTATGTATGTGTCAGATATTTGAATATTTCCTTGCACGAGTTTTATTATTTTTGTGTGATTATGTTAATACGAGTTTTAACATTTTTGTGTGTTTATGTTATTATTATTATCTACGTGTTGAGAAGAAATGTAAAAGTTGAACTCGATTAAAATCACCTCAAATTTTTACGAAATATGAAGCGTGTAATTATATATATGCTACATAATGTTAATAAATATGTTGTATTAACTATAAAACATTGTTGCGTTTCTAAAACGTTGTTACCTAAAACCTGATATAAGTGTTGCATTTATTAACTTGAATGTTGCAGAAAGATTTAATTAACACGTTACATAATTATAATAAAATTGTTGCCTAAAATTGAGTCCTAAGCGTTGCATTTTACTAAAAAAGTGTTGCCTAATATGCTAGTTTAAGTGTTACAAAATAGTGTTGCGTTTGAGGTACTTATGCAACATATATATATATAATGTTGCTTAATATGATGATAAATGTTGCATATAGCTTTATGCAACGACACCTGATGTAGTACCTATCAAAGTGTTGCTTTACCCATTTTGTAACACTTTAGCTATGTAATGCAACATTTTTCAAATGTTACAAAATGTCTATTTTGTTGTAGTGTGAACCGTCTCACTTGCCCCCAACTCTAACAGTCTAACCCTACCCCCATCCCAGCCTGCCTCAACACTCCCCCATGCCCACCCTTCCCTAAATGTACCCCTGGACCCAATATTTGCTCACCACTAGGGGTCGGTTACCAAATATTTTCTCTCATACCTTTATTGTACCAAAACTTTCGGTATAATTTTTTTTTATACTGTTACCATACCGAAAATTCGGTATACTGCATTTTGATATACCGGAGTTTTGGTTCGGTAATGGTACGATATCGATAAATTATCATGTATGTCTCTCAATACAACAAATTATCATAGACAAATGAAATATACAAAACCGGTGTTACTAGCGACATATTTAATCCATTATTAAAATGCTACAAAATATAAATAATAATTTATTGGTGTCATACTCAATATTGAACAATAATTATTATGAGTATATTTAAGCAGTTCAACATGCCACGTATTAAAAAATAACACATTCTCATAAAATAACTTAAATAATATAGATATAATTAAATCAATAGTGATCTCTATCAAAAAAATAAAAATTATTCAAACAACATGGATATAAAATCATTTATCCCTAATATCATGTTGTGTATTAGTCATTTTTATAATTTTTAAAAAATATTTAAATATGATTTTATGTATAATGGTATACCGGTAAACCTTTTATTTTCAAGACATATATCGATAACATACTGAAGTAACTAGGTGCGGTACCATACAATACCGAAAATGTCGATATACCTAATTCTTCGATAGATCCGGTATTTTTTGATATGTTAAATGTGGTATATCGAAATTTTGGTATTCCCCCCAGCCCTACTCACCATTGCCGCACTAGCCCCGGAGAGAGAAGACGAAGATGGTGTACAATGTTTGATGGAGTTATAGCCCATGGACGGTGAAGAAGAAGACAATGTGCCTCGAACCGAGCTGACGACAACATATGACGCCTTATTTTTATCATTCTTTTTATGAACAAAGAATACAAATATGTTTAAGTCTTAAAAAATCTCCCATAGCATTGGGACAATTAGGTGTGGTTGTTATGAAAAGTGAAATTGTGGTTAGTATTAAATTGATAAAATGTGAATATAATAAGAATGAATTGTAACAATCCAAATATTGTATGAGACAAATTGAGTAACATGGACGAAAAAAGTAATCAAATAGAACAACGATGGGAGTAAAAAATGGAACAACGATAAGAGTAGATGGAGTAGTAATTAGGCACAAATATTATTTAATTCAGATCTGTATTTTTATGTGAGGTCTTTAATACGTAATACTTGGTAGTACTTGGTATTCCATATTTTTTAATTAAGTGTCTTGTGTAATAGTTATGTCTTACGGGGCACCGATACTTCAGCTTGATGTCGTATCCGCATATTCGATATTGATACCCATCGATACGCGTCCTCTACGTACGTATGCAAATTATACCCTATGTTATTATTACTTATAAATATACCCCATATCCGTACCCATGGGCGGAGCTAGGAGTGGGCCAACCTAGGCCATGGCCCACCCCAAATTTTAAAAATGGCTTAATTTTTAAGTTAAAACATTTCGTGTAATTTTTTTTCTAAAAATATTCTTTGTACCGCCCCAATCCGGCTCAGTGTCCTGGCTGCGCCTCAGCCCGTACCCGTATCCTATAATTTTTTAAATTGCCGTATCGCTTCTCATATGGGCTTGTCAGTATCCGTGCAACATGGGTATACGTATGTCACTTTCTAATAATTGGTTTGGTTATTCATAAAGAACGATGCACCCTCTCTTGAAGACATTCCAGGGGTAGCCGACTAGCGGGGTAGTTGGTAATAAAATCTAGATTGAGTTCCAACCATAATATTTGAAAGGTTGTTGTCAATAGTTTTATTGTGAAAGGTTGTTCATAATTTGATAGTGAGGACTGAGGAATTGAATATTTGAATTCCGATATACGGATTATACTTTCTTAAATTTTATTTAGAAAACAAAAATCAGCTTTTGATCCCTATTACTATCTCATGTAGTAGGGGGTTTTGGAACTGATTCTGCTTCTGCTTTTTTTTTTAAAGCAGAAGCAGAATCAGAATCATTTTTCAGAAACTGGTCACCCTCAACTTCTAAAAAAACTGATTCTAGGAGTAAATTAGAGCACCAGAATCACTTCTGAACTTTCAACCAAACACTCCAACTTCTGCTTCTGCTCTCTAAGAGAGCAGAAGCAGTTTTAAGAATCAGATCCAAACACCCTCATAATATCAATGTCTTTGATTTTGACCTTTTTATACGGAGTACATAAATGACATAACTATCATCTCCTCTCTCGTATATCAATATAATTCAACATACATTTTTAATACATTATGAATTATTGATAGTGATTCTTGCACTTAAATTATATATACATAAAGGGAGAATTATCTCTGAATAATTAATTTCCCTTCCAATTATGCATTAAAGACATTTATGAGTTATAATATCTTCTTCTCTCTTATGAATACAATTCCATATTCTCATTTCCTCTGTCTTAAAAAATTTTGTCATTTTTAAAATTTGACCAATTATTTAAGTTTATTGAAAATTATTTATACTATAAAAATTATATGAAAAATGTTCTATGTCAAAAGTACTTTAAAGAGTATAAAATTTATAACTTCCATAATATTATACTAATCAAAATCATGGTTCAAATTTTTTGAAATGTCAGTTTTTTAAGACCGAGGTATTATTATCATTCTTTATTTATTAAGCTCAAGTACTAAACATGATTCTATATTTCATCACTCTTGTAGTAATTATTATTATTATTTATACATAAAAGGAAGAATTATCTCTCAATAATTTATTTCCTTCCCAAGTATGCATCAAGGACATTTATGATTTATAATATCTTCCTCTCTCTTATTAATACAATTCCATATTCTTACTCTCTTTATTAGGGCATCCTCATTGGGAGAATTATTACGAGATTAATAGGATTATTTGCTACAATAATCTGGGTTCAAAATATGAATCCGGATTATTTTAAGATTATTTGAAAAGTATATGTAATATAGATAAATGCAAGACAGAGAAAAAACAGATTATTTGAAGATGATGATTGAGAGACATAAACGAATTTTGAGATTATTTTATAATTAGTTACATAACAATATTTAAATGGTAAGAATCATATAAAAAATTGATTATTAAAGATCATGAATGAAGATGCTCTTATTATCATTCTTTATTTATTAAGCTCAAGAGCTAAACATGATTCTCTATTTCATCATTATTGTAGTTATAGGGAAATTTCCCAAAATAAGAGTAAAAACGTTTGAAAATTTCAAAATAGGATTGACATATTTTTAATCCCTAAATAGGTGTAATTACTGCCATGTTTGAAGTCTGGTACTGCCAAAACATGGTAGTAATTACTTTTATTTAGAAAATAAAATCATAATAATCATATTTTGGAATAAACAAACGTTTTTAGTCTTATTTAGGATAATTTCTCATAGTAATATAGTCATTATAACTTATGTTCAATTTTACACATAATAAACTATAAGACTATACTACAGTAACTATTAGTTTCAATGATATTTTTTCAAACACTTCATATTTAGACTGGAAATTAAAATTGGACCTGTAAGAACTAATGATACGAAGAGAGAGGAGCGAAGACGGGAAAACCCTAATTGTCGCCTCCTCTTTTCGTCCATTCTTCTTTCTTTCAATATTTTTTACATCAATCATGGAAAAAATTTAATTCAATCACTATTTTCAGCTATATTTATATGTTTACTTCAGAGGATTGTCTAGAGAGATTATTATTCAATAGCAGAGTGTCACTTGTCAGATGTACATTCCCAATTGGGTTTGGTGTTCTTGTGTGCTAGTAAAAGTTTTGTAATGTACTTGCTTCTTCATCAATCATGAATTGGGATTTCTGGTACAATGCTAAGGCTCTTGTTACAATCAATAATAATTCAATTATTTTCTATCCAAAAAAGTAATGATATTTGACAAATTCGGTGACTGGCGGTGCCTTCCAGTCTTCCACAACCGACACAATAACATCACCAAACAATTAATTTTCACCTTACTCCCAACTTTGCACCACACTCATTGATCACATCCTCAACTCCCAAAGTGGCAATACAGGAGAGCGCTGCACACAAGAAGCATTGGTCAGCAGACAATGCACCTAAGAATTTGTTCTACGGCGGTGGCTATCAAGAAACAGAAGCTGTGAGTGATTGCTGGTAATGGTAATGGAAGTTACAAATCCACTGAAGAAAACTACATGGGTTATTCCTCTAGTCTTAACCTCTTCGGTCATCATCTTCTTCTTGACACTCTTATCTGCAAATACATTTCAAGGGAACCTGGCAAAGACCGGTAAGGCTCCGGACTTGGTCGAACCCAAGCTGCGCCCATCCGACACCCCGCCCAGCCCGAGAATACCCAGACTGGCCTACTTGATCTCTGGATCAAATGGGGATGGGGAGAGGTTGAAGAGGACATTGAAGGCTCTTTATCACCCACTGAACCAGTATGTGCTTCACCTGGATTTGGAAGCACCTGCTGAGGAGAGGGTGGAGCTGGTGAGGTTTGTAAGGAGTGAGGCTTTGTTTGTGGAGGTTGGGAATGTGAGAGTTATTGAAAAATCTAACTTGGTCACTTACAGAGGCCCTACTATGGTCACTAACACTCTTCATGCTGCTGCTGTTTTGCTTAAACATGGAGGTGATTGGGATTGGTTTATCAATTTGAGTGCCTCTGATTACCCTTTGGTCACTCAAGATGGTATGTACCATACTGTATCTTTTCTGGCAACTCATTCTTTTTTTTGATTCTGGGTACTCGTTTTATTATATGTCAACAGATCATTAGGATTCATCTGATTGCATTTTATAGGTAGATGTGTTTATATAACATTTATTGAGTATATGATCAGATATGACGATTTCAAAATAGTAGAAGAACTCATTTGACCCTTTTCTAATTGGTTTTTGAACCACAATGTCAGCTTGATCAGATATGTACTGATTGTTGTAATTCTGGTACTTTGATTCATTGCCATTTTCCTTAAGTTTATTCCCACATCAATTACTTAGTGTCCGTTTGGAAAAAGAAAAATGCAACGGAAAGAAAAATTGGAAGAACATGACTGAAATATAAGCAATGTTCTTACCCATTTCAATTGTCTTATGCAGATATGCTTCACACTCTGTCTACCATTCCAAGGGATCTTAATTTTATCGACCATACCAGTGACATGGGATGGAAGGAGTACGTAGCTCAATTAGCCCTTTGATAAAACTGATGCAATTTTTCTTCTAAGTTCGAATTTGAATTTGTCTGGCATGGGATGGTCCATTTATAGATTGCATTATGCATTTTATAGGGAATATAGAGCCAAGCCTTTAATAGTTGATCCAGCTTTCTATAGCCAGAACAAATCAGATCTCATCTGGCTCACAGAAAAAAGAAGTGTGCCATCTGCCTATAAACTTTTCCAAGGTGCATGTTTTATCTGTGTTTTCAATTGAAGAGTTTATCACAAATAACAAACTTATTTGTGATGATTGAACGCCTCATACTCGTTTTGTATTTTCTCCCAGGCTCTGCTTGGATGATGCTATCTCGACCGTTTGTAGAATACTGTATTTGGGGGTGGGACAACCTCCCAAGGATATTGTTGATGTATTACGCCAACTTTGTTTCGTCTCCTGAAGGGTATTTCCATACTGTGATATGCAACGCAGACAAATTCAAGAACACCACTGTGAACCATGACCTGCATTTCATATCATGGGACAACCCCCCGCAACAGCACCCCCATTACATCACTTCCGACGACTACCCGAAAATGGTGGAGAGCAATGCACCATTTGCCAGAAAGTTTGACAGGAATGGCACACTGCTTGATCAGATTGACTCCGAATTTCTGGGTCGCAAACCTGGTGGTTATGTGCCTGGTAGTTGGTTTGATGGAGGGGATGCAAATACAAATGCCTCAGTTTACACTACTGCAAATATAACGTTGTTGAGACCTGGGCCGGGTGCCAAGAGGCTCAAGAATCTCATATCCGCGCTGTTGACTGATAACAAGCACTGCATCTAGTGCCAGACAGAAGTAAGTTTATAAAGGACTATAGGCTTACTCTTCGTTGAGCATTGTATTGCTTTGAGAATTGATTTATGCCCGAAAAAGGCACTGATGAAATAATCATGGCCTGGTTCATGACCACACTTCTAGGAAGGATAAAGTAGGCACAGAAATATGTATAAGCTTTTTTTAATATCTTCCTACAAAAGAGCTAATGTAAACGGATTTTTTCGTTTAACATTGCTGTTATATGTTACAGTACAGACTGTATCAGTAAATATACACTCCCTCCGTTTCAGTTTCTTTGACACAGTTTGACTTGTCAAGAATTAAGGAATTTTTTTTTACTGAGGGGTAAATTTTACGGAAGAGTACAATGTATGAACACTTTTTGGCACTGTTTGAACACTGTTTGACACTGTTTGGCACTGTTTTTCACTGTTTTGTTAAAGATTTGTTTACTAAATAAGGAAATAAGGAAGTGTGTTAATCTTTTTGAAACAACCAAAAAAGGAAAGTGTGTCAAAGAAACTGAAACGGAGGGAGTATATATCTACTTTGTGTTGGAAAATAAAAGGTTAGAAATTCAATTTTGTTTACTAATAAAATTACCAAACAGGCCTTTAAAGGAAGGTAAGATGGCATCTATTCTGTGAGATGTCTTTGTGTTGGCTTCATTGTGATGATATTTTGCATACACATTGATTATGAACAGCATTGGGAAATCCTTTGATTGCAATCTTCTACATACATTTCTCATATAATAAATGCTTCTGTCTGTGCCTCAGGAATGAGTCCACTCTCTTCAATTATAATAATGTTAGATTAGATGGATTCAGTTGTGCATAATGGGCTATTATTATATATGGGCCCAATTCTGTATGTGTTATAGTTAGGGGTGGATCTGGTACCTTTCTGGTTGGTACCATTCTGTGTAATAAAGTAACAAGTAGAACCAGAACTTTAACCTGGTGTATTGGTTCTGATTAATTGGTCAACTCTGGTTTTGACTTTTTAATCTATTTTTTAAAAAATAAGGAAGCTAAGTTGGAACTAGCCGGATCCTATTTTGGAAGGATGGGACTGGTTGGGGTTCAATTTGGATGTTAGTTTCACATTGGGGAAATCAAACTTTGATTTCCAATAATAAACCAAATTGTATTGGTTCAGTTCCAGGACCAAACCGGGACTTATATGTAGTACTACGGACTACCTCTGTCCCGGTTTAAGGGTCCCATTGCAAAATGATACAGTTTGACAATCATTGAATAAGACCCATATACTCTTATTTTGGGATGTTCTAATCAAGTTATTCTTTTACTGGGACTACAAAAATCTTACTTGGAAATAAAACATACCAATCTTACTTGGAAATAAAACATACCGAGTATTTAGGTATATGTTTTAATCCTATATTAAACCATTCCTTTTCATTCTTCTGTGCCTCACTGGCCTTAGTTTTGAGTGAATGTAGTATGCCACACTAAAAAAAGCCAATCCATACCCAAAGAAGGTTATTGGAGTAACATTATCCTTAATCACAAACCAGGAAAACGCAATCAACAGCCAATCCTTAACCACTCCAGCAACATTCATGGTTAAAGCGGAAGTCTTCCCCACAAGCAAGAACACAGCAAGGTTCAGAGCAAATGCACACAAAGAATAGGTCCCAAAGATGACATGATCTAAATGAAAGCTGGAATTCTCCCATAAAACCGGATACTAAGAAAAACCCATGGAACAAACAAGAAAACCAAACAATATAGCGCCACATAATAAAGGGAAATAATAAGGTTAAGCCTGATACCGTTTTAAGTGAGCAGAATTTGAATCGAGACTAACCTGGTTGCCTTAAATGCCAAGGCGCCTAATTGTAGAATCAAACCCAAGTGTCGAATTTAGCCTCTCCGTTTGCGGCAATCGCGACAGCTACCGAAATCGATGTCATATTCGTCATTGTCTATGACTTGAAAGCGTCCTTCGTACACAAAGGAAAATGCTATGTGTACACAACATTGTACACACCACCCTACACATCATAAAAAGGCCACCCCCTCCCTTTTCAAACCCATATAACCCCACCCACTCTCCTCCACTCTCCTAAACGAAAATGCCAATTTTTTTTCATTTGTTTGTCATCCCTTGTCTCTCTCAACTCATGATTGAGGTTGTCTTTGATTACGAGCGGCAGGAAGCGAGTAAGATGTATGGCGGCGGCGACGAACATGGCCTTGGCTGGACATGGGAGGATATATTCGGGCCGAGTCCCGGGGACACGCCATCTGCAATGGAAGCTTTCTCCCTGCCCTTTCTTTGTAGTAAGCTCTCCTTCTCCCTTTCTTTATTTTCTTTTCGTTCTTCTCGAAGAGCTCCTCTCTTTTTCCCTCTTTTTTTCATTCTTCTCCAACACCACATCCATATATATACAGACAACTTCTCATCCTTTAGTTTCTCTATCGATCTCTTTTCCATTTTTCGACCCACCTATTACCCCAAGTGTCGAATAACCATATAAAACGCAGTTAACTTCCAAAATACATTTGACAGCCTTCCCGAGTTCAATTTTAGCTGATTGTTTTTTGTGAATAAACTAGATTTGATGAATAACATGCCATAAAAATTTCATCAAAAAATTTCACCGGAAAGGAGCAAAAACGCCGCCGTCCGGGCGGCGGTTCTGGCCCGGAATACCTGACCTGAGTATTTCTCTCTCTCTCTCTATATATATATATATATATTTATTTATATATATATATATAATAAAAATTGGTTTCAATGTAAAATTGATCGTAATTGACCAATTACTTTTTGTAAATAGTGAATAAGTTTTTTTAATATTAGGACTATAAAAATGATATAGTTAAAAAAAACATTTTTTTATCATTAGCCAGGTTTTATTTCGTAGTGTAACTCACGTACATTAAGATGTAACTCACGAATAAACAGATGTAACTCGTGCATAAGAAGATGTAAGTTCATATAATATTAAATGCAAACAATAAAAACAAGGAATTTAATATTTTTCAATTAATTTATGTAAATAGTGAATATGTTTTGTTTTTAATATTAGGGCCATAAAAATGTTTTAAGGAGAAAAAAATTCCAAAAAAAAAATTGCCAAAAAAAAATTACAAAAAAAAAGATTTTTTTGTTTCAATAGCATGAGTTTATTTTGTGATATAACTCGTGTTATTAAAAATATAACTCACATTGATGGAAAATTTACTTAGGTGTCTGCAAAATGTAAATTGTTGAGGCAAATACAAATGTAACTCATGCATAGAAAGATGTAACTCACCCATAAACAGATGTAACTTGTGGACAAGAAAATGTAAATTCATATACTATCAAATGTAACTTCATAAATTGTAACATAACTCACACATATGAAAAATGTAATCTCATGTTTTATCAGATTTAATTCGAAATAAATAAACTTAATGTCTTAAAAAAACTACAAACATATAAAAGAGATAAAAAATATATTATAAAAGAAGTGTATGAATATGAAAAATATTTTACAAAAAAGGTGTGTAAATGAAAAAATGTTACACCAAGAATAAATTTGGTAGTACTAATTTTACGTGGATTAAGAAATTTAGTAATAAGTTGGTAATGAAAAAAGTGATATTTTTGTCTCGTAAAATTTTGTTAATAATATACATGTCATTTTTATCTAGGCATAACTAGACATATTTTTGTCTGGTAAAACTTTGTTAATAATATACATGTCATTTTTCTCACTATAATAAATACTCGGTATTGTTTATAAAATGTTGAATCATAACTGATATGCGTCTTCTTGGGTTGGATGAAAATATGACTTTGGAGAGAGCAAAATAAGGGCATACATTTGTGTGGACGATTGACCTATTGTCTCTCTTTTCTCTTTTTCTTTTATCGTTTATCTTCTTTATCTTTTTTTTGTTCTTATGTTATTTTTATCTTCTAGCTTTTATGCTCTTTTATCTTTTTATCTTTTATCTTTTATCTTTCTTATATTCTTATGTTATTGATATCTTCTTCTTCTTCTTCTTCATCATCTTCCTCTTCCTCTTTCTCTTCCTCTTCTTCTTAGCTTCTTGTTTGTCTTTTCTGTTTGGCATCGATATTATGGAACGATTCATGTTAGTCGACCCTCAAATCTTTTGGGATTAAGGCTTGGATGTGATCTCTTAAATGTAATGACTAAAATAAATTACTACGTATTACAAAACTATGCTATTTTTTAGAGGATGAGACTATACTAAAATATTTATTGATCATATTTTAACTCCGCCATGAGATCATTTTTTTGTATCATGTCTGTCCCAAGCTAAGATAAAGGAGGAGGGTGCCGTGGTAGGCGCGTGACGACCAACATTATCACTTGGTCATATGATATGACATGAATCGAAATATGTGTAGGGAGGCCGGACTGTATAGTTCCCTATTACTATCGGAGTGCACCAAGGATCTGTTCTGAGTCCTTTCTTATTTTCTATAGTCATGAATGAACTTACGAAGTCAATTCAAGAATATATACCGTGGTGTGTGTTGTTTGCCAGTGATATTGTATTGATTTATGAGACATAATCCAGTGTTAAAGCGAAGTTGGAAGTATGGCGATAAACATTGGATACCAATGGTTTCAGACTGAATCAAAAGCGAGGCTGAGTATATGGAGTGCAAGTATGGTGGAGGTTGAAGTAGTAGCAATAGTGGGATTACTCTTGATGGTAAAGAAATATCAGTGTGTGATATGTTCCGTTATTTGAGCTCCATAAATCAGAAGGATGATGAATTAGATGGAGATTTATGTCATAGAATCAAAGTTGAGTGGATGAAATGAAAGAGTGCATTAGGATTTCGATCTATGCGATCGAGGTATGTCGACTAGACTGAAGGGTAAATTTTACCGAACAATAATTAGGCATGCATTAATGTATGACGTAGAGTGTTGGGCAGTGAAGCAATGCCAAATTCAAAAGATGAGTGTGGCGGAGATTCGTATGTTGTGTTGGATGTGTGGACATACCAGAAAAGACCGTTTGAGGAATGAGATAATTAGACAAAATGTGGGAGTAGCACCTATAGAAGATAAGATGCAGGAGTCTCGTTTGCGCTGGTTTGGACATGTGTGTAGAAGACCGAGTGATGCACCTGTTAGACGACTTGAGATGTGGGGAGAAGTGATGGAGAACAGAGGGAGCGGAAGACCCAAACAGACTTGGATTAGAGGAATCAGAACTCATATGCGTCTTCTTGGTTGGATGAGAGTATGACTTTGGAGAGAGCAAAGTGGAGATGATATGCGCACATCCGTGTGGATGTTTGATGTTTTTTCTACATTTACTCTCTCTTTTCTTTTATCGTTTATCATTTTTATCTTTTTTTGAATTAATGTTAATTAATTAATTAATTACGAAAATAATGCTGGAAAAAAAGTATTTACCGATCTACTGTTGGGTTTAACTATGATCAAGGAAAGTCGCCCAATGGTTGGGCGACTTATAAGACACCAAACCATTTGGCGACTTATAAGTCGTCCAACCATTGGACGACTTTCCCTTCCATATGAACGCAGCCCAGCAGCTATTGCCAGCCACACACGATCGTGCCTGCAAGGGTAGGCACGATCGTGCCTAATTCCGAAAACATAATTTCATCATTTTTTTGCCCCAGCTCAACCCAAACTCATCTGTTTGCTATAAATTAATAAGGTCTCCCTTCTCCTGTTTAAGTGTTACGAGCCAGTTACAACACATTATAAAATATACAACACACCTTTTCACAAACACATACATAACACCTACTCTCAACAACATACAAAACACCTTGTAAAGACCCTTTACAGATCGAATACAAAACCTTAGATTCATAACCGGTAAAACACAGTACAATTATCCAATATTCATAACAAGTAATCATCTAATATTCATACTCGAACACATCAAGACAACATACAAGAGTTTAGAAGAGAAAATACATAAAATGTTGTAAATTGTTCCTACAACATCTACTGTCACTAGTAAAAAAATGGCTTATAGTGACATTAAATTAGTGTCACTAAACGATTTAGTGACACTCTGAAAGTGTCACAGAAAAGTGGGGCTAGTGACGCTAAATTTAGTGTCACCGTTAACAAGTCACTTTTGTGTCACAAAATTATGACATATAAACATCATAAAGAACTGTGATATATATGTAACAAGGATTTCTGTGATACCAATGCATCATATTTTTTAGTGATATATACATACACTACAAGAAAAAGGCCTCATAGTGACACCAAATTAATGTCACCAAAAGTTTCTGTGACACTAAAAAAGTGTCAATATACATGATTCATTAGTATATATATTTTTATATATATTTTATATTAGTATATATATTAATACAAATAAACCAAAACATTAACATTAACCAAAATCTCAAACATTTTATTTATATCTCAAGATTTCATATGAATGTACATGATTCATAGGGGCATACCCCGAAAATCATAAATGTAATTAAGTACAACTCAAAAAACAAAAAAAAATATAATTATAGCTAGAATTGAGATAAAACACAGTCTATAGGACATAAAACAATCTTTAAGTGCCAAGCCCCGACAATGGCATTCTTATGGAAGTAATCAACAACACGTGCTCCCTTTTCCTCATGGTTTCTTCAAGGCAGTCCTGAGACTTGATCAGCTTCAAAAGCCACGCATGTAGAAGCAAGCCTTCAAGAAACATATGTCCCCAGACATCATATATGAACAAGTGCCATTTTCAGTATATGTACTCGTATTATTTATGGGGAGGAAAAAGGGGACTTAATCTAAATAAAATAAAATCACAAACTCAGACCTTCCTCCATTTTGAGTTCAACAATCGAGTAAAGCTCATTATTCAAGAAAGAATGCAGATAGTTGCACTGCCTTAGGTCAGGGAAATCCAGTTCTGGGAATTAAATACTTGAACACCCCTCATAGGTATCTCATCATCAGCCTTTATTTGATTGCCCATAACTCATATGTGGTGACGTTCTCCCTGTAGTAGTCCTTTAGCAAGTCATCCAACCTATAACATTTTTCCTGAAAATTAAATAGAAATATCAAGACAAAAGTGATCATTAGAAAGCAGACATTCTTTTTGAAATTAGTCCGTGTCGTCCTGGGGTTTTTTTTATTGGCTTCTGGTGATCATTGGGTGTGATGTATACTCCGCTTGGAAGTATTGTTGTTCATCCTCTTTGACTTCACTTGTAGTTATTTTTGTGATTGTGTTTCTGCTATTTCGTCGTTTGACTTGGGTAAATCCGTCAAAGACTTCCACTTCAGCTATTTGACGACCTGAAACTAAAAGGGTTAGTGACTGACTGTCCTCAGAGAAAGTTTCATCACCGGACAGTTGGGATGCAAGCGTAGTAATTGTATTCTCAAGTGTAGGATCAGAGACGGTCTCATCATTTCCTGGTCGGTTCTCAAAGGAAACATCAGAATGATGAACACCCACGGTTACCTCCACAGTACGGGTAGCCACCTGGGGTTCATCATTATCAAGGTCCACTTCCAGTGATGCAGCATTGTAAACTGCAATCTGAGCATCACAAATAACAGGAGGGACAAAATCCATATAAGCACCATTCGGTGCTGCTGTACCTAGGTTTGCACTCATATGTGGTTGCAAAAATCAAGGACATTTTAAATCTTAAAACCCCTGAAACAATCTTAAATAAAACGCTTCTTACATAAATCGATTCGCAGATGAACAGTAAAAGTCGCGAAATTCCGGTTCGATTTTGAGTCTGTGGCCGTAATTCATGATTCCAAATTCAAATCCAGTCTCGAAAATGAACTTAGGGGTGAAAATCGACCAAGAAACAACAAGAATCCGGAGTCAAAGCATGAAGTATCCATGGATTAGAACTGTGTAACCTGTACGGATGGGAAGAACTGGAACGCAAGTGTACCCAGGAGAGAAACAACTCTCAACTTCCCTCCGACGCTTGCGGTTCTCCTCCTCTAGACGCCTCGGTGTGTCCATTTCATCTTCCGTCATTCTGGCCGAGCTAAACCCGGGTTTCGAGCATGTAGTGTTCGATTGCAACTGTTTGGCCGGGGTTGGAATCTCTTACCACCGCTGCAAAGCTCGGCCCGAAGTGCCGGCCTCTATCCGGAGCCCCTCCGCCGGCGACATCGGAATACTGCACAGGCGTCGGGAGATGGACACTCGACGAAGCTTAGAGGAAGAAGGAGCTTCTGAGGTTGAGAGTTATGAGAGTGAGCTGCGCTCCAGTAGGTCAAGGGTTAGGGTTAAAATTTATAAAATAAAACTCATTTCAAAAAAAAATATTTTAACAAATCATGAATATGACCCCGTTTTTTCACCTTGAGTGTCACTATTAAATGGTGATGTTATTGTATCAGAAATTAGTGATACTTATATGTAAACTTTCAGTTATGTCGTCAGATTTTGACACTAAATAAAATAGTGTCACTAACTGTAACACCGACCCCGAGCATATTTACTTTTAGTAAATTATGTAATAAACCTTGAAAGATGATTTATGAATTTGCGTAATTGTAAATTTTTATTATTTCTTTTACGTGAATAGTAAATTGCATGTGGGGCCCACAGCGGGACGGGGACCGCCCGATAATTCCTGAACCACATATTATATTAATCTTGGTCTAGATAATATGTATATGGTGGTGGATATTTTATTTGGACCATAAGAAAGGCATGGGGTTTGACCGGTTGGTCAAACGGGGCCCAATTACCGGTATTGGTAATTTAACGGATAACAGCCCGAAATGAGTTTCGGAGACTCCTAAATTAATGTTGGGGAATGTACATCTATTCTAAAGGCCCATAATTATTAGGAACACGTGATATATTTTATTTGGCCCGATAAAATAAAATATAATTAAAACGGACCGAGAAATACAACTTTCGGGGCCGATTATACATACCGGGACATAACGGGATGACCTCCCACACAAGTGGGGGCCACCCCACGTTTTTAGGAGTGCTGATGGACTGAGTGATAAGAAGAGGGGAGCAAATAAGTGTTGTAGGAAATTGGCCGGATAAACCTGCAAAAAAGCGTTAGAAAAATAATATAGCTCGAGTCGCGTAAACGCTGTCCTCAAGAAAGTATTTCGGACTAGCGAAAACCTTTCCCCAAGATAAAACGAGCTCTTCGGCGTAAGCCGGTAACAGAACAACGAGAGTCAAATAATATAATTAATCCAGCAGTATGTGATTGAACAAAAATTTTGTGAGTAAAACTTTGTTATGTATGAACACATCTGAGTAAATCATAGGGAGCATCTTCTTCCTCCTTTTAAGAAAATCATATATATGCTCCACTGTTTCAATTTATGCAAAAGTGGCAAGAGTTGAAAATCTCATTTTCACTAAATGAAATAGGTAATAAAAATTTAGCTAAGCACCCCCACAATTTTAAATATTTAAAAACAGGTGCATAGCCCTTCTAGAATTCATAGAGAGATAATTTATATCTCAACCTTTAATTGTACACAATGATTTTATCAAAAACTCGCCTTTAAATTTAAATAAGATAAAATTTAGTTTATCTCGAAAAATCATCTATAAATATGACAATGATTTTTATATAAATTCTTCAATTATATCATAATTTTCTAGAGCAGCTCCCATATCACTAAATATCAATCTTAAGATATTTAGGAGTTTCATAAATCAAACAAAAATAAAGAACAACAAAAAATTACCATGTAAAACGTCACATCTATTATATCACACAACACAATAATTAACACAATGTAAGTACGCAGAAGCATCATCATGCAACATTTTGGAAATACTAAGCACAAAAAGTCCATTCTTACAATGGCCAATTCCCACAAAAACGTCATTTTTGGTCATAACAGAATTGTCACAACCAAAAGAAACTTTAACCCCAACTTTTCCCAAGAGAGAAACGGAAATCAAATTAGTCCGAATCTTGGGCACATGAAGCACATCATTTAGTGATAAAGATTTCCCTGATGTGAGCTTCAGAAAAACTTTTCCTTTTCCATGCACCTTAACGGTTTTAGAGTCCGCTAGGTACACGAGTTCTTCACCATCTCCTATAATAGTATAGGAGGTAAGAGCATTTTTGTTTCTACAAATATGCTTGGTAGCCCCGGAGTCTACCACTCATTCACATCATTAGTTTTACAACTTTTGAGAAACAACCACAATAAAATAATCATCACTACAAACCAAGTTTAAACTTGATTTTGGTGGGTTGTTGTTTTCCATAGTTGTCATTTTACCACTAAATAAAAGAATAACATTTTTCTTAAAAATTGGTGTTAAAGTATGGCTTATTGTAAGAAAAAATGTGAAGAGAGTAAGACTTACACGTAGAAGACTTTTGTGTGCGTTTATCTGATTAATACGGCTCCCCATGCGGGTGTATCACAACCTACTTCGCATCACATATGTAGATATAACATAGCCCCGACGAGTGCGGCGGCAACGCTTTGTGAGATCATATGTGCAGGCATATCCGACGCAAACTACTTTCTTGAGATTGTTGTAGGAAATTGGCCGGATAAACCTGCAAAAAAGCGTTAGAAAAATAATATAGCTCGAGTCGCGTAAACGCTGTCCTCAAGAAAGTATTTCCGACTAGCGAAAACCTTTCCCCAAGATAAAACGAGCTCTTCGGCGTAAGCCGGTAACAGAACAACGAGAGTCAAATAATATAATTAATCCAGCAGTATGTGATTGAACAAAAATTTTGTGAGTAAAACTTTGTTATGTATGAACACATCTGAGTAAATCATAGGGAGCATCTTCTTCCTCCTCTTCGTACTATCCATGTAGTACATATATACTCCCAACTCCTCAAAATAAAGGAACCGTTCAAAATTTTGGCAGCATTAATATGGTAATAAATAGGATTAATATAATAACAGTAATAAAAAAGATTCTTAACCGATGGACATAAGAAGAACCGTTGTTGCTTCCAGGAGAAAATGAATTTGTTCATTAACCATATTAATTAATAGTCAACAAACTATCCCAAGTGTTGTAACGTTCAAACATAATTATTATAATTATAATTTTATTATGTATAAGAGATGTATAAGATTTATTATTAAATTAGTGTGTGAAAAATAATTAAAGGAAATAACATTTTATTCATTTGAAATACTCTCAATTTTTCCAACAATAAGTGTGCTGGTACGCACAATCAATGGGAGGAGGCCTCTTAGAAACAAATGAACATGCTCCATGTCCCACTTTTGGCATCTCTTCTAATTGATTGAGGGGAGATGCCTCCCCCCTACCTTGTGTCATTCGGCCAGCACAAAGCAAGAGAAGCCCAAGGGAAAGCAAAGCTCTAGTTGGAGGAAGAGAGAAGCTAGGAAAATCCACAAGAAATAGCTTGTGTTTAAGGTAAGAACATAACTATTGTTCTTTAACTAGTTTTATGGTGTATGATTTTTAAGAAATCATATGGTGGATTACACATGATGTTGTACACGTTTAAAAGTGTAGAATATTGATATAAAGTGGTGATATTTAACTTAGAAGAGTTGGTGAATCGATAGGAGTCGAAATCGCCGGAAACCGCCACTTTAAGGGAGCTGCCCGTTTCTGCAGAACACGAAAGTCGCCCGGCTTTCGTGAAAGCCGCCCGGCTTTTGCCCAGCAGCTCAGTTTTACACCTTCAATCGGCCTAGAACGGGGATTGATCGAGGGGCTTAGCAAAGGCAACTATTTCAGCACTTCATAAGGTGAGGATGACTGACTATATTGCTTATAATTAGTGAGTTAATTTCATGAGATTACCGAAGGTAATTAAATGTGTTTTTATGGATTATTAATGATTAATAATGCCTAAAAATGAAAAGACTAAATGTCTAAAGAAAAAGGGAGCATGATATACAAATTTAAGAGTAAATTGTGTATGTTCATGTGTTATGAGTATGTTGCCTTGAAAGTGGAATTTATTATGAAACATATGTTGAAATATACTTTTTCTTCATATTAGAATATATGAGTGATTAAAAGTGATATTTTGAACATTGAGATAAATGATATTTTCAAAGGAAAATCAGTTGGAATCGTCTATATGACTACGAGTTGAGAACTTGGTTTGTTGATATTAACTTGACTAGTATTAAGATACTAGTTGGACATTAAAATGAAATGTTGTTAAGATTGATCCTAAGGTTGGATTGTGAAATGTTATGCCTTAAGTAGTCTTAAGAGATACTTTAAGGTAGGAAAGTATGAACTCTAAGTTATACTAGGGGTAGGCCTTAAGGGATACCCAAGTTAATGCAAATATTAATTGATCCTAAGTATAGGATTGGCCTACGGGTGTGTTCGGTAGTCCTTGTGGATAGCCGGTCGAATTATGGAAATAGTAAGGACCATGGCCCTTCCCGACTCTAGAGAGCGGGGTTGGATAGCATGGACTTACATCGTGATCACGGGTTAGGGTGGAATCCGAATCGGAGACCTAACTAGGTTCCGGTAGCGGTAACATATAAGATAGGACCCCGAAGGGCCTTACCTTCCTACGGGATGATGGGTACGAGTCCAGGGGCGGGATGTTGGAGTCCGAACCGGGAGCCTCATGAGGTCTCGGACAGCGGTAGCAAGTCCCGTAGAAATAATAAGACCCAAGGGTTGGGTTGTGCAAATGATAAATGAAAAGAAACATATAAGAAGGGCCGTGTGCCGACAGATAAATAAATTCACTTATTATAAAGATAATAAGTGGGAAATATAAATTGTTATTTATATTATGATATCACCCTATTTTGAGGGTCTTGGAAATTAAAACGTTGATTATACTTAGTATAGTTGCTATTGTACTTGTCAAATATTTCCAAGTACTGACCTCCCCTTCACGGGGGAGGCCACCTCACAGTTTCAGGTAGGACGTGAAGGTTGCTACCGGTGCCCGTTGCTCGGGATATTCAGAGGAGAAGACGTGGTTCGTGCTTCTTCTGTTTTCTGATTTCAAAACAATTATAATAGTGCTCATGGATATTATTTTGAATAACTATTTGGGGGCTTGCATGCCCATGTTTGCCAAAGTGTGGCTAAGACACTTTTATTAAATGCTTCCGCTGTTTTAAATGAATGTTTTACATTATGTTTGTTTATGGATGTACTATGTGTGAATGATATTCATGACGCCTTGTATAGTATGGATGAGTTGGACTACGGTTGACTATTCGTACTGTACGGCGGGTTGTTGACGTGTCCGGCTAGGCCCGGGGCGTGACACTAACGAAGTGTCACTGTAAGGCAGTTTTCTAGTAGTGTGTACAAGAAAAACTACAATACAAAAGGCAAACTACAAGTTCTCATGGTCATCTTGATCATCGTGGTCATGGAGATGTTCTTGTTGATGTCTACGCCTACGCCGTTGTCGTGGTTGAAGAACCACTATCTCATTCCGCGTCTAGGATGATGAAGCCGCCGTTGCACTAGACGTCGATGGCATCTCCTGAGATGGGGGCATGTGTATAAGATGGCCGTAGTCGACTCGCCCCAACACATCTGAACACAAGGAGGCAATGCGTGTCAGAGTCTGTCCATACATGTCCACATCATGAGTATCATTCACTGTGGCAGTAACCCACTGATGTATACGCTGCAAAGCTCGTGTCTGAAATATGAAACACAATTACAATTACATTGAAATACGTATTAAATAAATAAAATGACTTACTTTACTAATTAGTAATATACTCACCGTAAGATGCAAAGCCAAGGAGCTAGACTGATAATGATGAGTAGGGAGTTTGAACGAAGGAGACACAAACAAACGAGTGACGCTGTAATACCATCCCATGTAGTCTCCTGAAACAGATGGGACAAATGTCGGTGTCCCAGTCACAACTAGTACTTGTGGCCTTCTGTCACTCTCATTTTACTGGTTTCACGCCTATTAACAAAATACGCATTAACCCGGTAAAAGGAAACCTGGACCAAAGCAGTGATGGGCAAATATCTAGCATTTTTCATCACGCTATTGAAAACCTCTGCCAGATTAGAAGTGATGGTACCGTATCTGTATCCGCCATCATGGTGCAATGACCACATTTCCGGGGGAATGTTCCCCAGAAATTGTCGTGCCTCCAATCTCATTTCACCTATCTTCTTGAACCCACTGTCAAACTTCTTTTTCTGATGTTGCCGTGCGGTCCAGACAAAAAGATTTTTTAGATGAATGTCTTTGAAATGAGTGTGCACATTCGATGCAAGCACTGCAAGTTTATTTTGCCAGAATTTAATTTTTATTTAAATTTTTTATACATGTTTAATTCCTTGTTAATGTTCCATTTATTTACTATGTTGTTGAATGCAAAAATAATGTTTGGTAGCTAAATTTGTTTTGGGCATGAATTGAATAAAGAAATATGGATTGACTTGTTAGCTGAAAATTAGGGGTTAAAATTAACTAATTGGACTAGTTATTCAAATTGATGAAATAGTAATTAATAATTGTTAGCCATCTTCATTAATTAAATTTTGGAAAATTATTTCTAACTTGTCTATGAGATTAGAAAATAATTTGAGCCAACCATATTCAAGCACATTAATAAGGCCTAGAAATAGGAAATTTTAATGAAAGGGATTTACATCTTGTCTATGAGAAATAAATTCATATTGCTTAAATAATGAGTTTAATTAGTTAATGAATTTGGCTATTTTTATCAATTAAAATATTAGAGAATTATTTCTGTCTTGTCTATGAGATTAGAATTTAATTCAAGCCAACCATTTTTGAATACTTTAATGAAACCTAGAAATAGGATAAATTAATGAAAGTAATTTCTATTCTTGTCTATGAGAAAAGAAATTATTAGTCCAATTTTAGTTTTTAATTCCCCTAATTATTAGGTCCAAGAATATATCCATTTCTAATTACTCAATTCATTGCCCTTCTTTGATCAATCCAATTAGAGTTTAGTACTATATCCATATTAGTTTATTTTGAGTCATCATTAGTAATTGCATAATTTAATTTACTTTCCTTTTCAAAAACTAGTTTAGAAAATCAATCAAAAGTTTTAATTTGGAAAGCTTCCAATAATTTCCGATAACGTGTGACTGGACTTAAAATCAAGAAACTCCTCTGCCATTCCTCAAGAAACACGATACTCGGGGAAAAACCGAAAGGTTAGACTCCATTTTACTACAACGCCGCGTAAGCGGTTATCAAAAACCCTAAGTTCAAAATGAGATGAAATGGAGTTTGATTTACCTACAAGAAAGAAGAAAGAGTGTTGAAGATGAAGATAGAGGTTTGCTGGAGTGCGGTCGCCGGAGATGGAGGTTCGCCGGAGTTGGAAATGGCTCAGTCGTCCTTTTTCCTTCGTCCTTTGTTGCTACGGCTTGGGGGATTTGGGGTTTGGGTTTACGTCATTCTGTTTTGTGGCTGACAGATATTTTTACTTAAAGGAAAGTCGCCCAATGGTTGGACGACTTATAAGTCGCCAAACCGTTTGGCGACTTATAAGTCGCCCAACCGTTGGGCGACTTACCCCGGTCATGGTTAACCCAACAGTATATTGGTAAATACTTTTAACTCAACCTCATTTTCGTAAATAATTAAATAATTAACATTAATACGGAAAGAAACTCGTTATTTTTATCTTCTAGCTTTTTATGTTCTTTTATCTTTTATTATATTCTTATGTTATTGTTATCTCATATTTATTTATCTTTATTTTATCCGTTTATCTTACTTG